GAACATTTGAAGCAGAGTAATGACATATCCATAGAAACAAGAAGGTGACGGACCCCCAACTGAAAAGTTACATAGTGCACCTTTAATAAAGCATGAACAAAGACTTCAATTCATAATGAACAGATTTTATTAAGATTAAGAATATTTAAGGCTTAGAGAGTACTTAGAAACCAAATCCCTAACTCCTTTAAGTAGTTACTAAGCTTGAATTATTCTTAAAGACACACTTTTTAGCCAAAAACAAAAATTAAGGCATGTTTTTTTTTTCATTTTGGTTGTCTTTATTGCTGAAAAATATAGAAAAAAATGTGACCTTGTGGGCTTGCATCTCCCCAAACATGACACTCTTTCCATGGAAATGTTGTTCCTTTATCTATAATCTTCCAGAGTATGGCAGACAACATCTAGCCCCACTGAGAATGTTCTGAAGTATGATTTTAAGTTTTTATTTCCATGCAATCACACAGGTGACGTGCCATCTCCAGAAAGTTACATACTATATCTAGAGAGGGAGAGAGAGGGAGAGAGGGAGAGAGAGGGAGAGAGAGGGAGAGAGAGAGGAGAGAGAGAGAGAGAGAGAGAGAGAGAGAGAGAGAGAGAGAGAGAGAGAGAGAGAGAGAGAGAGAGAGAGAGAGAGAGAGAGAGAGAGACAGAGACAGAGACAGAGAGAGGTGAAGGGGGGGATAAGAGGGGAGGGGGAGTGCAGTAAACAGAGGTCCAGCCGGTGAGTCTGCGGTCACATTCCTCCGGTTAATGTGTCCTCAGGTTAGACACACCTGCAGTCCCTCCCTTCCTTTGAAAAGTATATGTAAATAAGTAGTAGCTGCTAGTATTTGAATGTTTGTGAATGAAGAATTCAGTCAATCAGGTGCACCTTTTTTTTTTTAACAACTACAGACAAATACTATGCACTACCCAAAGGACAAAAAAATATCCTGTCCATTTGACCCATCCGTCAGTGTCACTGGGGCATCTGTTCAGAAGTTGTGGCTGTGCAGAATCTTTTAGTATCTGATTTTTGATACTTTTGACAACAGTGATTATGATGAGAAGAGTTTTGAATGATAGACAGATGTTGACCCAGAGCCTGGATGTGCGGAAACATTAAGATATGTTCTGTTGGCTAAAATTAGACATGTGAGTAATTGATTAGTGTAGCTGTAAAAGATTATGTACTTGGGCTCGTGTACTTAGTCTCACTGATTTGATTTGCACATCCAGAATGGGCTCCTATCAGAATGATTTTCAGCTTTCACATGGGACGATTTAAAGGTCACTCAATGTCTAAAAAGTCATGGGACTGAAAAGACTTCAAGTTGTTCATTTCACTTCATCAGAACAGAGGCGCAGTACTCTGTACACAAAAAGTTTTAAGTTGACAATGTGAAATGATTTGAATATTTGTTTCTTGCAACTCTCCTTCAGATATAATTAATTTTCACTTGAGTTTTTCCCTTTGAAAATACCAGATTCTGTGCATTATACATAGACTGTAGATATACATGGACATAGCTAACCTGTTAGCCACTGCATTCCAAAAAGGAAGTGAGTATGGGCATGCTTCCGACTTCATGGTCTCTGGGTCCAATTAACCTTCTATGGAAAAATACTTTCACCCCTCTCTCTAACTGCTGGTGTCAGTCCCATCATTTTGGTCTTAAAATGTTGGTTTTAACCCGCTCTAGATGAACCTTGTGTTTTTATTTAGATTTTTGTCCACAAATCAACATATGAACACTAATAACAGACAAAACAGGTGTCTCAGGAAGAGAGGAGGAGGAGGGGAAGAGGAGGAGAGGAGGGTGTCTGATGGGGTTTGCCACTGTTCACTCTGCAGTTTGTGTACTTAACATTTGGGTGACATTTCCCCTCAAAGGCCCTCCCCCTTCCTTGCTCCAGCCCACCCCTTCTCCTTTAGCCCCTCCCCTGGCCTTTACCCTCACACACTTACGCATTTATATTTTTCTTTGGTGTTTCTGAGTTTTTATTTTTTATTTTTTGAGCTTTCTACCATGTTATAATGTTGTTCCCACATCAAAAACACACATGAAAATTTTTTAGATGGATTCATTCATGTTTGAGTAATTTAGCGTTGTCTTGGCACGATTTGAACCCTCCTTACTTTCAGCTGCAAGATTCTGTGCAATGCTTAGTCTACAAGCCTACATCACCCATGCTCCCATATGACAATTTTCCATGAATATACTGTACACAGCACCTTGGCAAACCTGATGCAATGTGCAGTAGTTTCTGATTGTGTTGTGATGTCACTATGAAAGGGGAGTGACTTAGCGTGGGGAGCAAAGGGAGGGGGGACCCAAACCGAAATACGTTGTTTTTAACTACTTCCAAAAAGTTTTCCGAGTTATATAATTTGAATGAAGACCACTGGAATTCCTTGGCTGATTTTTTGGTTTGGGATTTTTTGTTGTATTGTTTTTAGAAAGCATTCCAATAAGCGTATGACCCAGTATGGAAAAAATAAAAAATATAAAATTAGCTATTACTACTATACACTACTGTGAAGTGGATTCCTCAATGTACCTTCTTGTGTCCTTCTAGTCCAGCTTATCTAAGGTTGGAGGTAGGATGAAGGAGGTAGGAGCTAGGAAGTAGGAGCTAAGACGTTGGAGAGAGGCGGTGGTGGGGGGGGCTTGTTTGTTGTCGCCCTGTGAAGTCAGGAAGCCCCCGGAGGCAGCAGTGAGTAGTGCGCGCAGACAGACATGTACTGTGGTGTAATTAGAGAGAGAGAAAACCGCTCCTCGCCCGCCCGCCCCTTCACCAACATCTGTACTGCACGAAAACAAGGCAATTATGCAGCAGGGGGAGAGGAAGGAGGGAGAGAGAGAGAAGGAAAGAAGGAGAGAAGGAGAGAGACAGAGGGCAAGAGAGAAGAGAGGGAGAAAAAGAGAGTAGAGATTGGAAGAGAGGAGATAGAGGGCCAGAGGGAGAGAGGAGAGAAGGAGGGAGTGAAAGAGAGGAGGGATGGGGAGAGAGCAGGGAAAGGAGAAAGAAAGTGAGAGAGAAGAGGGACAGGGAAAGAGCGAAGGAATAAAGAAAACAAGGAAAGGAAGGATCATAGTCTTTGAAGAAAACAAACCAAAGAATAGTGCTTGCACAGATCCAGGAAGTAAACACAAAAAAGATGAAAAAAAAAAAAAAATGTAACAAAACGACAACATAAAACACTATAAGGCAGACTTATTTTGACCTCAAGAGCTGCTTATACAATCTATCTGTACGGGGGCAAGTTACAATTTGCTCAAAGTTTAGCTCCAGTTCAGTGAACCAGTCTTCCACATATTCCCATCTCAAGTGTATGTAAGTGTATGCAAACACATGAGGAATGTGCTTAAGCAAATGCAAGGAGCCTAGTCCGTTCACCTGAAGGAAATCTCAGCAAGAACATAGTGACCATAGCAACATCATGAATATGGAACTTTTTAGTCCTGGTCTATCCTTATCCAGGTTTTGTGCCGGTTGAGTTAAGAGCCAATGAGTTCAGAGTAGTACTGATGTAGTCTGTGTCTGTAGTAGGGCTGGGTATCATTAAGAAGTTGCCGACACGATACATACCTCGATATGTAGGCCACGATACAATACATCTCGATATAGTGCACTTTCGATTCGATAAAGAATAAAGACTAAATCGTTAATCGGCTATGATACTAAAAGTCCTTGTTAAACCACTTCTTGTGCAAAGTTCATATGAAACACACCCATTTATCATCAAAACAGTGAAAATGTCAAATGTGTTGCATAAATGAGTTTTCTTCCTCTCAACAAGTAACAATACTGTAGCACTGTAACAAAATAATTTAGTAAAATACAACAAAAAATACTCTTGGCGATAGATCGATACAGCAGCAGACAATATCAATAGTGTATCATCACATTAAATGATATGATATATCGATATGTTGATATTTTTGCACACCCCTAGTCTGTAGTGTAGTCTAGGTTTAGTCCTGGTTAGTACAACTACAAATGTTTTTGGATTTTAGCTCCAACAGCAGGTGTTATACCCAGAACTCGACAGACCATAGTTTTTGGACCAGACAACTGTGTCCCGCAATACACAACAAAACACTCTGCACAACAACCAATAATCAGCTCTTATATCATTCTGCCCAACAATGCCAAAATACACAGAAGCATAACTAGCATGATGTTTAAGATTAATGACACACCTATTTGGCCATGTGATTGCAAATGTTACAGGGAAATTTGTGCTGTATACAAAATGAGAACATAAGAATATTAGTTAAACGATCCCTGGCTAGTACTACAATCACAACTGAACCAGTGTTGCCAATGCCTTAATCTGCAAATAGAAGACACATGCAAGTTTTTTCTCAATCTCAATATGTGGACAGGCCATGTCTCACGTGAAAGCTCAAAACGTCCAGAATTCCCTCACTGAGCTGCAGAGGCTGCACTAGCACTGATTAAATGTTTGGCTGCAGGAGCTGGGGTTTAGGTAGTGACCATTCAGATCAGAGAGAGGCATTTTATGTTTAAAACAACTGGATTTCAGCATTGAAACTGGCAACACAAATGAAAGACTCATGTGAGGCTCATTATGCTTTCCGATTGCATAATCTTCTTGAGAACCAAAACACGCAATTATAACATAAACAACTTGACCATCATGTCCAATGTTTTGTACTTAAGGATAAATCAGCATTACAGTTGTTATTAGTAAAAACTATATTTGATTTGAATATGTTTATCTGGGGACAATGAACACTGGTCATGTTTATGGAAATCTAAATCTTACAGTCCCTTCAGAGGATAAAGCATGAAAAATTGTGACTCGATGATCCACAGACAGGCTAAATAGCAGACAAAAGTATAATATACAATATCTGCCTGACACTGTGCATTTTGTCCACTCCTAACTCAAACCTAAAATTAATACATTTAATTTAAATAACTTTAAACTTCATGTTCTCCTTGAGAAAGCAGGCAAAATTGCTGACCACTGCACATCCTCTTACCTTTCTGACAGTGGTTGGAAGTCCAGCAGCGATAGTTGAAGTTGTCCAGACCGGTCCTCTTGCAGATGGGGCTGTCCTCCATGACGGCCAGGCACATGTTGTCACACTCTTCAGGGTCCTTGTTCCCGTTGATAATGTTGTTGCTCTCCTCCTCCATGATCTGAGACCAGTCCAGCGAGTCCACGTAGCACAACTCATTGTTCTTCTCCACGCGGATGGCTCCTCGTGTGATGTTCCTTAGGTTGTACAGGCCGATGTCCTTCAGGCTGGTCATCTCGTAGATCACCAGGGCATAGTTGTAGAAGAGGTTGCGCCCGCGGATGACGGTGAGGTTGGGGAACAGGCTGCTCAGGGTGGTCAGTCCGGACACGCGGAACAAGAGGAGGTAGTCTGTGATCATGGTGAGTTTGGGGAAGCTGAGGGACCGTAGCTCCTCCTGGTTGGTGTTGGAGATGAGGAGGATCTGCAGGTATCCCTCCACCACAGTGCAGTTCTCCAGGCGCTGCAGCTCCGTGATGTCATTCCGGATGTCAATGCTCGGAGCGCAAACTGGAACACAGGAGAGGAGAGTGGTTAGGGGGTGTGAGGCAGGGGAGGTACTACTTTTTAATACAATTGTCTTTTATTTCAGGCATTATACTTTTAATCCTACTTGAGAAATCATTTTGACAGTGTAGCAGTACTCTTACTTGAGTAACAGTTTTGGTTACTCTTCCTACTGTGAGTAAGTTTACAAGTGACAAAAGCTTTATGTAGACAATAGGAAATGATTTGAGCATTTGTGTTTCTTGCACTGCTCCTTCAGTTATGATTTAGTGTCTATCCTTTGAAAATACCAGATTTCATGCATTATTTAAAGCAACTGTTTGTAGCCTGCGCTCTACATTTAAAAAAAAAAAAAAAAGTACTGCAATCACAACTGAACCTGCCAGTGCCTTAACCTGCAGATAGAGGACACATACACACTCAGTGTTGGGAAGGTTACTTTTAAAATGTAATCCCCTACAGATTACAGATTACACACCCCAAAATGTAGTTTGTAACGTAATCCATTAAATTACTTAAAGTGAGTAACGTAATCTGATTACTTTGGATTACTTGATATTGTCATGTTTTTTTAAACGACATGAATGTAGCAACCACATCCTGAAAATTCTTGTTTGTTGTCTTCAAATTGTCTGAGCCCAAGTCTCCATGAATAAGCAACTGTTTGCTGTAGAGAAACAAAGACCATGATATCTTAATATAAGAGGTTTTGTCTGATCAGCTTTTCCTTCACCATATTAAAAAATATTATTGATAGAGAAATAATTTTTTATATGAGATCACCTTAAATTATGTCAACCTACTGTTAGGTGTCATGTTGTTTAGACCTGGTTTAGTCCTGGTTTAGTCCAGGTTTAGTCCTGATTTTTAGACCTGTTTAACTCCTGATTTTAGACCTGGTCTAGACCAGGTCTAAACCAGGTCTAAACCAGGTCTTTAGTTCTGGTTTAGTCGTGGTTTAGTCCTAGTTTAAACCTGGTTCAGTCCTGCTTTAGTCCTGGTTTAGTCCTGGATTAGTTCTGGTTTAGTCCTGGTGTTAGTTCTGGTTTAGAGGCGCACAGGAGGAAGCGCGGTTTACGCGAGAAAACACGGTCCACACGCGGCGCACGAGACGGCGGTGTCCGCGCTGTAACTACGGAAGGAGACGTGGTCCGCGGGTTCTCAGGTTGATGACGATGATGAAGGTGTGTGTTTGTGTGTGTTTGTGTTTGTGTGCGTTTGTGTGCACGTCCACTCATGTCGCAGGTCACTATAGGACAGTAGTGCAGATATTATGAGTCTATGCAGGTTGTTTTCACCAGTGCCAGTAGCTCCTGTTTCACATTTAAGTTGTAGGCGATTTTATATATATATATATATTTTTTTTTATATATGTATATCTCACATCGGGAGAAGAATTTCTTTTTTACCACTGCACTGCTGCTTCCACTGTGTGACTGACACCGCCAACTTTAACATGACGTTTCCATCGGTCTTATTGCGCGCGTTCTGTTTGGGTTTCCGGCAATGAGTGAAATTACCGAAATAAAAAAATAAATAAATGCGAGGTAGCACAAAATGTGAAAACAGGAAAATACCGCCTTGTAATCCACTTATTTCAGCAAAGTAACTGTAATCCAATTACCACTCATTGAAACAGTAACTATAACGGAATACAGTTACTCATAATTTGTACTCTGATTACGTAACGGCGGTACATGTAATCCGTTACTCCCCAACACTGTACACACTCTTCTCTTTTCTCATCCTTCTGCTTATATCCAGATTTAAACCAACTGGATTTAACAATATCCAACAGAACATTTTAAAATAATTCCTAAATGAATGCATTGCTCTGTGGGGAAGTGAAGACTGACATACCATATAATTCCATTTGAATTTGAAACAATACTCAGGCCTCTGGATAAATGTGTATTTGTACTCTCACCTTCCTATAGATTAGCATGTTAAGATTTCCATTATACTAATCTCCTTTGCACTATTTAATCCTGTTAGCTGTGATTGTACTAGAGGCATTTGGTGATTGCCTCTTTGATACACTCACAATGCAACTCAGTGACAAAAATAACTAGTTGCTTTTGAGTTACACTTTATAATAACACTGTGTATTGGAATGCCTGTTTTTTTATCAGCAGAATAACTTTGCTCAGGGTCAGAGGAGGTAAGTATGTGACATTACACCGGAGGGATCTGTTATTTCATTTCACATCACATTTTTTCTTTGTGAAATTGTATTGTGATCACCTTAAATAACCCGGGCATTTGAACACACACTCCAAACCGCAGCACCAGCGCGTCCCCGCACTCCAATAAAAGACATGTATTATTAATTCTAATTAAGTGGAGAGCACTTGAGGGAGCAGCAGATTCACATCGTGTTTGGCTATTAGCGCTGTAAACACAATCCCAAGGTAAACATCAGTGTACGGTAGTTTCACCTGACTGCAGAGAGAAACTAGGGGTGGGCTGATATGGATAGTTTGAGGTGATTCCGATATCTGCAGTTTGGTCTACTCTTGTGGCCAATAACTGATATTGACTTTAGATTTTAGTAAAGATCACACATTTACTTTTCACTCTTATCTGGAATAGCTTGTTGCATGATGTTCCTTTCTTCCATAGTTGCTTAAGAGTCTGTTCAAAAAGATAAATCTGATGCACTGAGGACAAACTCAAAATGACATCTTACAGAGAAAGGGGCAGTGCCAAAAGAATATCGATATCGAATATAATTATCAGTTGATACCGATAGTGACAAATCTGTATCAATAACAGTCGACACTGGAGCCAAAAAGAAACAGAAGGCACTAAGGGTTGGGCAAAATGGCAACAAATATTGATATAGTGATCAATCTCAATTTTCTTAGATGATTTCATTTTTTAATTTTCAAAAATAAAACAAAAATGTCTTTAAATAGTGATTTGAAGTACTGTAGAAGCCTTTAAAAAGGGGTATAAAGCATTATGTTTTAAAAGTTACAGAGCTTGAACTATGCATTCAATTTTGTTTGTTTTTATTTTTCTTTTGTCATTTTATACAGTAAGTCATAAGTGAAATTGTAAACGCAAACTTGCTGTTAATGCGCTGCTTTTCCTTCTCGGAATTCTATCATTGTTTAACAGGGTTAGGCATGATAAGTACTTTTTACTTTATAGCCTAAACTCTTTCAGACATGATCCACGAGGCTGTAGTCTATGTTTTTTGTAGTGCTGCAAAATGACCGAATGAACTACTACTATTACTACTATTTTAGCTCTGCAAAATTAATCACAATCAAATCAAAATTATAATTTGAATGGCCTCAATTAGTAAATTGCAAAAGCTGTAATTTTTGCAAAGTGCCATAATTTCCTCCACAAACAACATAATCTCCTGTCTTATTCTAACCCTGTAGTTTTGTCCGAGCATGTTCTCAAATGGGATTACAGTATTAGTTTGTAGGTTCTTATTTCTTTAAAACCTCTGGATGTTCCAAATAGTGCATTTTGCATAATACCTCCTCTAATGATTATGAAATGGTCTTATAAAGCCGTTTTCAGGCTTTCATGTTACTGTTCAATGCATTTTTTATTCACTCCTCACACAGTCACACTCAACAGTGCCAAGACATTTTTGTGGCCACAGCTGCCAGGGGGCAAACGGACAAGGCTATGGTGCCCATTTTGCAACCATCATAAATCATTTACTCAAACACTCATACTTATGGTTGTAAAATGTATTGCTCAAGGACACAAGAATGGTATGAATTGACAAGAGTGGAATTCAAAATGCCAAACAATTATAGGACTTCTGCTCTATCACCTGAACCACAGTCACTAAAAGACACAAGAAGAGGGCATAACCTAATACAGTTTTTGGTGTTTTCCACATTTTAACATTATTCAAAGCGATAGCAAGTGAATTACCAACAGAAATGACAAAACACTTGATTTAAAACTGTGTTGACCAAAAGCCAGTGGCATATGAGCTCCTTGGTTAAACCTGTTAAGTGCTTACACAGGCTTAGCTGTTCACCGCAACACGAACCGATCAACTGCCCTGTGCAGAGGAGAGAACTACAGAACTATTATACAAATTACAAAAAAGAAGAGAATGTACATTTAATTACAAATCTATGACATAAATCTAAATATTTATAGGTGCTTTGTGGAATCCTGGTGGGAGATTGCTTTGCCTGAAATATTATACAGCTTTTAACTTCTCTATTTCCGAGGGCGGACTGGCATACAGGGATATTGGGGATTTCCCCGATGGGATGCTGGGTCAGTGGGCAGTACTGCAGTCCAGACAGCTCATGCTGGGACTCGAGCCTCTCCATGTGCAGCAGAAACTATTCTCTATCTGTGTCTAGTATAATGGCATAATGTTGGTGATAGTGTTTACCACATGAGTTTTAAACATGAGCTCAGACATCCTGCCAAAAGTGTGTGCAAAAGTGTGGTGTTAAGGAGCACTGCTGTCACTGTGGTGTTCACGGGCCTCTTAAGACCACTAATGTGACTCTGGTGTGAGCTTCACAGGCAATGCACTCTAGGTCCTACAGGGGGACTCTGATTTTTAAAAGTACAGAATTTAATTTTGATTTCTGCCAATCATTATAATTAAAAAAAACAACAACATTTAATTGCAATTAAAAACAATACTTTATTAAAAATAGCCAAACTCTTATAAATAATTGGGCTCTGCATAATAATGATACAGGTCAATAAAATCAGGCCAGTAAAAATACCACCAAGTACTATTAGGACAAATCTAAAAATCTGTTTTGAAATCCCTCCAGTTATATTCAAATCAAATTACACAAAATACTAAATTAGTAAGGTTAGCCGACTGATAATATCGAACTGACATTAAAGAAAATGAATGGACATTTAAACCGAAGGGGCATAAGACCGCAATCCCACAGGGGCTCATCCAGCCAAAGTCCAAGGACGATTTCTTCTTTCAGTCTTGCCCTGTCTATCTTCATGGAGACAGCTATCACATACAGTATGCATGTTTT